TCCTTGGGTAGTAAATAATATATCTTTAGAGTATTGTCGAATGAGCACAGAAAAGTGACTAAAGGCAATGTAAGGAGCGGTATAATATTCTTAAAAAAAAAAAATACTAAGCCACTTTACCAAGAAAGGTCGAATGCTTGGGTTAGTTGCCCTGATCCCCGTACAATCACACACCATCTCCTTCTCTATCTTTTCTCATTTTCTCTCTTCAATCCTCCTCTTCATTTTTGTGACGTCAATAGTCCTATCCAAGGATCTTCCTTATCGACTCCATCTTTTTGAGCCGATTTCTTACTTGTGTTCCTTAGCCGGCATAACGGTCGAACCTTTATGTGTAGGTAAAGTAACGCTTGCAAGCCTATAACTAGTAAAATCTAACAAGTAAGAGGTATAATGGTGCAATACATTGCATTAGTTAACACAATACGCCTATCCGATTACGAAAATCATAATACGAGCAATGCTGGGCAGAAACTGTACAGGGATGGAAAAAGTAACTAGAATGATTAAGCTTATCGAGCATGAGAATAAATTGAGCATGAGTATAAGTAAAGCTAGATTGAGTTGATTATTTTCCTCTCTACTCTTTATGACTTAAAGGTCTTTCGTTGGATAGCTAGTCGGGATGACACTTTCCTTTAATGATAGTTAATCCGTCCTCGACTCGCATTAAACTAAAGCCAGAGGAAATATGAAGTGCCAACGAAAAGTAGACACTATGATCTAATGCTCCAATTTACGTTTACAGTTTCAGCTTATTAAAAACCATTATGATGCTATAACTATCACAGTAGATCCAAAGTGCATTGAGGATAGAGTAAAATATAGTGAGCAGGAAATTAAAGTATCACCCTACGTATAAAAAATCACTGTTATCCTAGACTAAATAATAGATGAAAGACGTGTCAAGCTAATAAATCAAGCAAATGACAAAACTCATATCAAGGCAAGAGATAATATTAAGGATGACAGGAAAAAATCGCATATGGGCGGTTAGAAAGTATATGAATGTAATATTATCAAACTCGTCCTCCATTGGGAATGACAATGCTGCCTACAATGTAATGAGAATACAAACTAGTATCGTATCATTAATTCAACTCTAACATAGACATTCAATTGATGACTTAGACAAATGAAGACGTAAACGTAAACGTAAACGTAAACGTAGGTTTAAACATCACATGATGTGTTTGAACAACATGACTTAATAAACGTAGAGAATTACAAGTCACCTCGTAGTTGTGACGTCTCTCATACTACGTCTCGATGATTATCATGCCTACCATTTTTCAAGAGTTCTCTCCTTTCACCTTTTCATCCCCAATTCCACTTCCTGCTACTAACTCGCTTGCCATTACCAAATTACATTGAGTCATAAGACGTAAGAGGCTGAGACAACAATACTACGTGAAATACATATGAAGGTTAGACAAGTATCAAGTTCCCTTTAAAAAATAACAGTGATTACTCCTCCCGATTACACTACAACTGTCTACGAACACTAACTGAAATAACTATCACAATTTTACATTGTTACCAATTAATCTAACTATATTAGGGTCTATGACGGAGGTACCTCTTAAGATATTTGATAAACTCCTGCTACGGATTTCACAAGGGTTGGGGATTCACGCTCAAACTAACCTTTGTTACTATATGAGGGCGCCGCAAGTAACTTTCTCACAGTTTCTGTCTAAAATAATTTCATGACTAAGTATGTTTGATTTCACACGAGAAGGAGCTCAAAAACAAGATTAGGATATGATCATGATAGTTAAACTAGTTGCAACGACCCCTATTAAAGAATTGGGGTCGAAAGGATCACGCGCTAAGACCTATAAACTTTATAATATTCAACTATTATTGATGTTGCAATTATTGACATATCAAAGACAAAGTGGATTTCTTACATTATAACGTAGTAAGTAATACATTGACTAGACAATTCCGCTACATAAGGAAAAAAAAAATTGTCATAACCTTACAACTTATATTAATCTATGAAGATATAAACAAGGAAGGCAGTACGAAAGCAAGGTTGACTTAAGTCAATATACACTAGCTAGAGATAAATAGAATAGTTAGTCACACATCTATCTCTCCTTTGCTCCTTGAACAAAGTCTATGTAGTCGTTAACCTCTCAATGACTTAAGCCGATAGACGTCATCGCACCGACAAATGTCCCGAGTACGTAAATCTAAGAAAGGATCTTAACACACATAGACACCTCCCCCAAATGGTTAACCCAACTTCTAACTATTATACAAAAGTATTACACTCACTACTTGTATCTTTTGATATACCCTTCTAACTATCTTATACCTTAGTTCTTTTATTAGGACTTTCGTAGGCAGTCGATATCCCGGACAATGCCATATCTGTTTGCATTGTCGACGTGACTTCACACTCCTACATCTAACATTCTTAATGTTTAACCGAAGGTAATTCAATTTTTTATATCACATGCTATATCAACTTATCTAAAGGTTGTCGTTTTGCCTTGATCATCGTCATCAGTGAGTTACCAAACTCGAGTTTGTTTACTGAGGACCTCGACTGGAAAGCGAGATCCCCGACAACGGCGCCACCTGTTGAGCGTGGCGGTCCCATACCCTGCTGGCAGCGCTGAACCTTAAGGTCGTGTCACGCAAAACTTTTCTTCAGAGTTTGAAAAAGAATCAGTCACCACTCCGACCATGCGCGCCTGCATACTTCTCACGACACCCCACGACAGGTCGGGGTGCCGCGAGGTACAACTCACCTCTATTTGAGGGACTATCACCACCCTCTAGTAGGCATATCCCTGCTGAGCTAACGACCCACATGCAAAAATTTTTACATGCCTTTGTAGAAGTAAGTCGGTCGAGGGCGTTTGCTCGATCGCCGTAGCATAGACATACACGTGGTTGAACGCCTAAGATTGACCCGTTTATGTGTCGGGCATCGGCGCCCTGATCTCCTGGACCGACTTATTATTCAGGTCGACTCGATTGACGATTTGCCGCGCATATATTATTCTGACCTACTTGTACTTGACCAATTATATAAGTTATTTTAGTTCTCCCAAATCAATACATACATGAAGCATACAGGTTAAAGGTTGAGATTGAAAGACAAGGAAATGTCTTTACATTTCACATGATAAAGGCAAACATCAGGATGAACAAAACTGAACTTCTGGAAGAGAAAACAATCAATCGACTCTTGGCCTTTTAAACAAGCATCACAAATAAAAGTAGGCTCATTGCCTGTCAAAAACATGCACCAGAAATAAAAGATAGGCTCATGACCTTAAAAAAAAAAAAACATCAATAAGGTTTTTGACTTTTGCCATTATCCTAATTCATTCGACATCAAGGAGTAAAAGTTGGAAATCCAAACCAAATGTACACAGGTGAGGTGTCGACGAAATGTCGGAGTCGAGGCTCAGGTAAGCATAATTTCAGCAATACGAGTAGAGTGAATAGCACATGGTTGGTCGTCTTACTGACCTGCAAACATAATCAATCATATTACGCAATCCTACCAGAGTCAACCATTGATTCATTTCCACACACATTACACCTACGCTTCCAAACCTTTCAACCAAGCATTCCCGTTTTGACTTAGTCATTCAATGACCTCTTTTGACCAAATACACACCCTTTTAGACAATGACATGAATATCAGAAATGCCATTTAAACATAAGATTCGTGAAAACAAAAAAAACTAAATATTGGGTTTGAACAAAATTTATTAAAGATGATAAAAGTACAATATTTAGGCCTCCTGCAGAAGCAAGATTTCACATGAAGTAAAGCAACCACAATAAAAAAATACTTTTTGACAACCACTAGAAGTGGAGAGGAAAAACACACGATTTTCCACAGAAAATCACTACCAATTGAATCACAGTTTAGTAAGGAATTGAAATATGCACTTTTTTTCTAGGTTACGAATGGTCCGGACGCCGATCGTCTCCCCCGGACGTCCCATCGGACGTCCGGTACCCCCGTCGTCTGGAAAATATTTTTTTTGTTTCGTAAAAAAATAAAAATAAAAATATTTTTTTTTTCGGTTTTTAATTTTTAACTCATGATTGGCTGCGAATTTGAACATGACTCCGAGGCAAAAGTTGCTTGTATTGTTTTGTTACATAACATACATTGTTTTCAGATTTTTCAGAGAATTGTTTTTTTTTTTTTGTGCTATGTTGGACATGCCCTGTCCGGTCGGACATCGCGGACGGTCAGGGGGTTCCCGGACGTCCGATCCAACAAGCTATTTTTTTCTATTATTTCAAAAGATTGTGTGTATAGTCCTATAAGTTGTGCAACACGCCGAACATGTTCGGGGGTTTTGTGAACAGACTAATATGTTATCTCTATGTTTCCCGCTGGCCGCGGCCGGGTCCGGCAGCCTAGGCCGGGGCCCCCCCGGCCGCGGCCTCGGCCGGTCTGGGGGGCGGTTTCCGGAGCGGGGAGCGGGTTTGAGGTGGGGGGGKGGGGGGGCACCCCATCAAAGTGACAGAGCGTAAAAAAAATAAAAAACGGGGGGGTCCTCCTGCACATGGCCTTGGAAGGGTGGGCCGGGAAAATTCGTGCGTCCCCCGCGTGCGGGTTCGTCGATGCGGGATCGCAGGGAAGAGAGTCTGGAACACCAGAAAAATAAAATAAAAATATTTCACCCCTGTGGGGGCGGCCCAACGGGGGTTAGATGAGGGCCGGGTTAGGGCGGCCCGTGCGTCCAGGTCGGGTCGAAGCTAGGCGGGGCTGCAGATGGCAGACCCCAGGCAACTCAGGGTCTTAGGAAGGCGTCGATTTCATTCATGAGGGTGATGATAGTTCGTGACATATTTTGAAACAACACATTCATGGCAATCGTGGCATACCAAAGTCACAACACATTCACAATCAATCACAATGCGACCATCCATAAGTTCTAAACAATGTTAACACAACTTAACAGGCACGTGTGTCATAGTGTGTGTTCACTCATCAGACCGGTGAAAGTTTTTAAGTAAAAACACATTCATTAGCACATCATCCCTATTTGGCATATGAAATTAACAGCACATTCAGAATGGAGGCATCCATGACATGCAGGTGTGTGGCATCGGAGAAGCACATAATTTGCAACAATTAAAACAACAAACCAGAAACCACTCACCAGACAACAGTGACTCATATGCAAAACCAAGGTTGGAAGAGGAACACGAACAAGAGCAAATAAATGACAAAGCATTTCAATGGAAATGCGTATGTACAAGAAAGAAGCCAAAAACTGGACCCGTCGTCTGTACCGTACAACTGAGTAGCAAAAAAAAAAAAAAAAAAAACCCCTAATGTCCACATAATGTCGTCATCTCTATGGAACAACATCGACATAAATATGCAACAACCCTGCCGACAGAGCGTCCAGCCACGCAAAAAAAAAACTAATGAAATAAAAAAAAAACACGGACGTCGTCATCTCCCTTCAGAACGTGCGCGACCTCTCTTGGAGGACGGGCGGCCAAGTGGTCCTCCCCGGCGCCCTCCTCTCCCTCCGGCACCTGTGCCCTGTGCCCCGCTGAGGTATGCCGCCTGTGCTGCAGTGGCTGCCGCGACCACCTGTGCCCTGCGTCTGCGGACCTTAGTCTCGATCGGCTCGGACTCTGTGTTTGCGTCCTCGTCCTCCGCCGCCCGTGCAACAATCGTCTCTCTCTCCCTTTGAATCGCGTCCAATGCTGCCTGGCCAGCGGCGATCTCTGCCACAAGTCGAGCCTCAACCTCCGAGTGGTCTCGGTGTCGTCTCGTCCCGGGACGCATCAACAACCCCTCCTCGCGCGATGTGTATTGCTGCCCCCGTAGCATGTCCGTGGATGTCCCTGCGGCCTGGAGGACCAATGATCTCCTCGCCACCGCTCGTGACAAACCGAGCATGCGGCCTGCCATCTGCAGGCTTGGACGTCCGGACCCACCCTCCGCAGCCTGCGTCTGAACTGGCGTACGTCCCACGAAGACMCCCCTCCCGGCGTCGTAACCCGCCTGCAACTGGTCCCCGACCCGATGATGAGCTGACCATCCGCTACCCACACCACCTCGGACTGGCGGCGGGGAACTGCCACTGTGCGCAACTCCGGGTGCCGCCGTCTGGTCCTCGGCGTCGACGCCAGCCTCTAGAGCCCGTGCGGGCGGTGGAGGCATCGATCCTGCACTGTCTCTGGCGCCCTCGCTGCGTCTGCCGGACCCCACCTCACCCGCTCCGGACTCCCTCCCTCTCACGCCGCTGAGCGACGAACCCGACCATTGAGGGCTCTGCACTACGAACGGCGGCGGTGAATATTCCCCTCCAGGGGGCCGCCTCTTGCCGCTCCTGYGGCCCGTGTGTGCGAAAGGGTCATCCGTCAACGCTTGCGCCAAAGTGTCGGCGTGGAAGAAAGCGTGCGCTAAGTCGTCAGGGCGCAAGGGAGCTACTGTGGGGTCCCTCAACACCAAGGCGAGCCTATACGCATCGTCCTCGAGACCGTGGTCGTTGTCATCGTCTCCCCCAACACCCACGGTATCCCCATCTCCACCGGGTCCACCCTCTCCCCTGCCACACACGGCGGCACCCTGTCCCTCATCACCCGTGGTCTCGCCGTCGCCACGTCCTCCACGAGGGACCCACCGCCCACGGCAACATCCTGCCCCTCATCACCCACGACGACATCCTGTCCCTCATCAAGGAACTCCCCCTGAACTGCCTCCTCAGGGACACCCGAGTTGTCGGCGTCACGGCCTCCTCCCCCTCCTGTCTCCAACTCCCTTTGGCGACGCTGCTCCTCAACATATGCTTACCGACCCTCCCATCCGGGCAAATTCTCTAGCCGCTCCTCCTCCTCTTGGTCCAAACGGGCATCCTGCTCCTCCTCAGTCTCAACACGGCCCCGCACAATGTCCTCGTCAGTGCGCACCTCCGACGGTGAGGCACGTCGACGTCCCTCGACACTGAAATCTCCCAAGCCCCCACCAAGTCCTTCGATGTCAAAGTCGTGTGTGAGGAGCTCCGACGGCGAGCGGGGGCGGATACCGGCGTCGGAAGGAGTGCTCTCCCCCCCACGATCCTCGCCGTCATGTGTCCGGTCTCTACCTGCTGTCAACGCCAACCTCTCCGAACACCTAAGTGCCTCGGGCTGTGCAGTGCTCGGATGATGGGAGGGAGAGAAGCGACGATCGCGAAGGGGCACCTCCTCATCCTCGGCTTCCTCCTCGGCCTCACTGTCGCTCCTAACCTCCCAACTCCTTCCTGTCTGTCGAAGGCCTCCCTGTGGCTCCTGCTCCCCCGAGTCGTCGATGCCAACCTCCGCATGCGAACGTCCTCCACGACGACCACCGGCTCTGCTGGTGCCACTCGTCTGTCCGGTCGACGACACATCATCAGTGATAACTGGTGTGAATGAAGCCATGCCGTCACGTCCCCCACCGTAAGTGAAGTACACCCGCTCAGTCGTCGCGTCGCCACTTAGCGGCGCGTCATCATCGTCTCTCCACTGGTCGTCGATGTCGTCGTCTCCTGCATCAGCGTTCGCATCATCCCCGCCCTCCGTCCACGGTCGCAGCTCCGTCACCCTTTTGCCGAACACGTCGTGAACCGAATGGGCTTTGGAAGGTCGGATGTCATGGAAAGCGACAATCTGCCGCTGGATATCTTGCTCGGGAACACTGGCAGCAGGTCGCGCTCCCCACACCTCGGGCTCCACGTCTCCCTCCTCATCCTCGTCCTCTCCCGCCGTCCCCTCTTGACCGGTCCCCATAACCCATGGCAACACGTAGCCACCACCCTGCCATGCGCACGAGGCCAGTTTGAGATTGGTGGCAATCTCAACCAGCTGTGCAAGCTTGGCAAACCCAAGGTTGCAGCGCCTCGCCGTGTTGATGCGCTCGTGCTGCGCCCAGTTCCTCTCCGCGGGAGAGACAAACGTCCACAAGTGCATGGCACGGATGGCGATGGTGTGCAACTCCGGGCGGGCACGTCCATGGTCAAACCACCACGCCGCACAACGCTCGCTCTCGCGGTCTCCCCTGCAATCGTCCGCCTCGGCATCGGAGAGGGACCGATCTCCCCAATCTCCTCGCCTCGAGTGGAAGTGCCTCATCTGGTCCCTCACGGTGTTGTACAGTCTGCCGACCGAATCGTCGCCGTTCTGGGCCAGGAGAAATCTGTCGCACTCTTCGACCACACGGGCGTCGTCGGCGGTCGTCTGTAACGACTTTTAATACCTAAGGGACCGTAGACGAGGGTTGAGGAGGTGGGCCGCGGCATGTGCGGGCTCTAGCATGTGGAGGTTGCGGATGGCAACCTCACGCACACACGGCTCGATCATGTCCGCCAACACGTCGACCCTCCTCATCAACCGCAACACATGCTGACTCCACTCGTAAACGATGGACATTATCATCCCCCCCCTATCCATCCTGCGCAACAACTGGTGGACGACCGTCATGACAAGGACGGCGTACTGGATACACCGCCAAGACTCCCAGTCCCGGATCAGCTGCTGCACCCACTGCGCCTGCGAGACAAGCCTGCGCTCCCACGGGATGTGTGCCCTAGCATCCCCGTGCAACATGCTCTCCAACGCGTCTTGTCGGCCTCTGAGACACGTCAGCATCAGGAAAACCGATGCGAACCGTTTCTCAACGGGCTCGACGAGCTGAACTCGAGGGCTCACCTTCCTAAACAGGGCGTGAGAAGCGCCGTGCAATTTAATAAATCGCACAAGCGCTCGAGCGCGTATGATGGTGTCCTTGACCCACCCCACTCGCGTCCCGATATCTGACAACATAAAGTTGCAGACATGGGTGGAGCAGGGGAGCCAAGTGATCCTCCTAATGTCGGGCTCGGGGTTCGTGGCGAATCTGCGTGCTGCCGCCATATAGTAACTGGCGGAGTCTGTGCAGAAGCCGATCACGTCCTTTGCAGGAAAGGACAAGATGATGGCCCGCCACCTACGGTACACGATGTCCGCTGTATCTCGGACCGACCCGTCACGTGCGATGGTGGCGTATAGCAAGGCGCCCCTGGCGCCCCTGGCGAGGAAGTTCACGAGCAGCTTGCCGCTGTGCGACTTCCTCCCGTCGGAGGGGATGGTGGCACCGGTGTGCCGGAAAGCGGCGCGCACCTCGCTCACCATCGTCCTCACCTTCGCCCTTTGCGAAGGGATCCGGACGCCCGCTGTAACCCTGTAGGAGGGAAACCGGAACTGGATAGTGCGAGGCACTCTCTCTGTCGTGTGCCACACCCTCTGGAACTCCGGACCACGGAAGGCGTTGAATGGCAACCCCTTCGCGTAGATCCATTGCGGCCACGCGTCTATGAACTCGGCCAACTTCTCCTTGTCGTACATCTCCTCAATCGTCGTCTGCCGAGTCCTCTTCTCCCTGCCCGTGTCTCGCACCTCGACGTCAGCCTTCCCCACTCCCCTCTTCTCCCTCCTTACGCGCTCCAACTCAGGTCGAGGCGCCCTAGGAGCGGGACCCGCTCGACCGACGCCTCTCGACGTGATCACCACCTCCTCCCCTGGCAGGTCAGGCTCTCCGACTGCCTCGTCTGCCTCGTCTGCCACCCCCCCCTCCCCGACCCCACCCTCGCGACCCTCCTCCTCATCGAGGGCGTCCTGAATCTCGTCCCTCTCTCCGTTGTCCATCCGCTGTCGCTGACCACCCACGGGCGCTCTCGTGTCCCGTATCCCCTCGTCCGCCATCCACCTCTGCACCCGCCGAACACTGGACGACACGAATGTGTAGTCCGTGCCGTTTCAGAGTTCCGCAAGAACTCTCATCCCCCCATCCTTGCAGTACTTCGACTGCGTGAAATGGCGCGCGGCCTTCGACGCCCCCCCCAAAAACAAGTGGCCGCATAAGTTGCAATGCAACTTTTGGTCCCCATGCATCGTCGACTGGTCCCCGACGTGCTGCCCCGTGGTGACGAAGCTCCAAACCAAGTTCCCCCGCCTCAACTTCATCATCTCCCTCTCGGACAGCGGGATGAACTGGGTACCCCCAGACCCCCCCACACCGCTGGTCCCTGCACCCCCCTGTCATCGTCCCCCCAATCGAATCCAACAAGCCATCGCGATGACCGTCGATGTCGTCGGAGCATGCCGCACCGTCGATGCAGTCCCTTTCGTCCCCGTTGTTGCCATCGCCGTGTCCCCCCGATGTCGTTGACGCCCGTGCTTTCCGCGGACCCCGGTCGGTCGGCCCCCCCCGCACAGCTGCGAGCGGCATCGGCCGTGTTCGGCCGCTTCCGCCGTGTTCGGTCTTATTCGGCCGTGGGCGGCCGGGATCGGCCGCGTTCGGCCATGTTCGGCCGCAGCCGGACACTAAAACGGTCGCCGCGCCGAAAAACGCCATGCGCGGCGATGGCGACGGCCGTCGGGGCGGCGCTGGCCGATGGTGGCACGCTGTCCCGTGAGATCACGCGGCGCGCGCCGCAGCCACCCACGCAGAATACGAAGAAGAAGAAGAAGAAGAAGAAGATCTCTCTCTCTCTCTCTCTCTCCCTCTCTCTCTTTCTCTCTGTCTCTCTGAACGGTCTTTTTTTTTTTTCTCTCTCTCTCGCTTTCTCTCTCTCTCTCTCTCTCTCTCAACGATCTCTCTCTCTCTCTCAACAATCTCTCTCTCTCTCT